ATGAGGAGATAACAGCACGAGGAGATAGCAGCACGAGGAGATAACAGCATGAGGAGATTACAGCACGAGGAGATAACAGCATGAAGAGATAACAGCATGAGGAGATAACAGCACGAGGAGATAACAGCACGAGGAGATAACAGCACGAGGAGATAACAGCACGAGGAGATAACAGCATGAGGAGATAACAGCATGAAGAGATAACAGCACGAGGAGATAACAGCCTGAGGAGATAACAGCAGCATGAGGAGATAACAGCACGAGGAGATAACAGCATGAGGAGATAACAGCATGAAGAGATAACAGCACGAGGAGATAACAGCATGAGGAGATAACAGCAGCATGAAGAGATAACAGCAGCACGAGGAGATAAGAGCATGAGGAGATAACAGCATGAAGAGATAACAGCACGAGGAGATAACAGCACGAGGAGATAACAGCACGAGGAGATAGCAGCACGAGGAGTAACAGCACGAGGAGGTAACAGCAGCATGAGGAGATAACAGCACGAGGAGATAGCAGCACGAGGAGATAACAGCATGAGGAGATAACAGCACGAGGAGATAGCAGCACGAAGAGATAACAGCATGAGGAGATAACAGCAGCATGAGGAGATAACAGCACGAGGAGATAACAGCATGAGGAGATAACAGCATGAAGAGATAACAGCACGAGGAGATAACAGCACGAGGAGATAACAAAACGAGGAGATAACAGCACGAGGAGATAACAGCACGAGGAGATAGCAGCATGAGGAGATAACAGCACGAGGAGGTAACAGCACGAGGAGGTAACAGCAGCATGAGGAGATAACAGCACGAGGAGATAGCAGCACGAGGAGATAACAGCATGAGGAGATAACAGCACGAGGAGATAACAGCATGAGGAGATAACAGCATGAAGAGATAACAGCATGAGGAGATAACAGCACGAGGAGATAACAGCACGAGGAGATAACAGCACGAGGAGATAACAGCATGAGGAGATAACAGCATGAAGAGATAACAGCACGAGGAGATAACAGCATGAGGAGATAACAGCAGCATGAGGAGATAACAGCACGAGGAGATAACAGCATGAGGAGATAACAGCATGAAGAGATAACAGCACGAGGAGATAACAGCATGAGGAGATAACAGCAGCATGAGGAGATAACAGCAGCACGAGGAGATAACAGCATGAGGAGATAACAGCATGAAGAGATAACAGCACGAGGAGATAACAGCACGAGGAGATAACAGCACGAGGAGATAACAGCACGAGGAGATAGCAGCACGAGGAGGTAACAGCACGAGGAGGTAACAGCAGCATGAGGAGATAACAGCACGAGGAGATAGCAGCACGAGGAGATAACAGCATGAGGAGATAACAGCACGAGGAGATAGCAGCACGAGGAGATAACAGCATGAGGAGATAACAGCAGCATGAGGAGATAACAGCACGAGGAGATAACAGCACGAGGAGATAACAGCACGAGGAGATAACAGCACGAGGAGATAACAGCATCAGGAGATAACAGCATGAGGAGATAACAGCACGAGGAGATAACAGCACGAGGAGATAACAGCATGAGGAGATAACAGCATGAAGAGATAACAGCACGAGGAGATAACAGCACGAGGAGATAACAGCACGAGGAGATAACAGCATGAGGAGATAACAGCATGAAGAGATAACAGCACGAGGAGATAACAGCACGAGGAGATAACAGCACGAGGAGATAGCAGCACGAGGAGATAACAGCACGAGGAGGTAACAGCACGAGGAGGTAACAGCAGCATGAGGAGAAAACAGCACGAGGAGATAGCAGCACGAGGAGATAACAGCATGAGGAGATTACAGCACGAGGAGATAGCAGCACGAGGAGATAACAGCACGAGGAGATAACAGCACGAGGAGATAACAGCACGAGGAGATAACAGCATGAGGAGATAACAGCATGAAGAGATAACAGCACGAGGAGATAACAGCATGAGGAGATAACAGCATGAAGAGATAACAGCACGAGGAGATAACAGCACGAGGAGATAACAGCACGAGGAGATAGCAGCACGAGGAGGTAACAGCACGAGGAGGTAACAGCAGCATGAGGAGATAACAGCATGAGGAGATAGCAGCACGAGGAGATAACAGCATGAGGAGATAACAGCACGAGGAGATAGCAGCACGAGGAGATAACAGCATGAGGAGATAACAGCAGCATGAGGAGATAACAGCACGAGGAGATAACAGCATGAGGAGATAACAGCATGAAGAGATAACAGCACGAGGAGATAACAGCACGAGGAGATAACAGCACGAGGAGATAACAGCATGAGGAGATAACAGCATGAAGAGATAACAGCACGAGGAGATAACAGCACGAGGAGATAACAGCACGAGGAGATAGCAGCACGAGGAGATAACAGCACGAGGAGGTAACAGCACGAGGAGGTAACAGCAGCAGAGGAGATAACAGCACGAGAGATAACAGAGGAGATAACAGCACGAGGAGATAACAGCATGAGGAGATAACAGCACGAGGAGATAACAGCAGCATGAGGAGATAACAGCACGAGGAGATAACAGCACGAGGAGATAACAGCACGAGGAGATAACAGCACGAGGAGATAACTGCACGAGGAGTAACAGCACGAGGAGGTAACAGCAGCATGAGGAGATAACAGCACGAGGAGATAACAGCATGAGGAGATAACAGCAGCATGAGGAGATAACAGCACGAGGAGATAACAGCACGAGGAGATAACAGCATGAGGAGATAACAGCATGAGGAGATAACAGCACGAGGAGATAACAGCATGAGGAGATAACAGCATGAAGAGATAACAGCACGAGGAGATAACAGCACGAGGAGATAACAGCACGAGGAGATAACAGCAGAGAGATAACAGCATGAGGAGATAACAGCATGAAGAGATAACAGCACGAGGAGATAACAGCACGAGGAGATAACAGCACGAGGAGATAGCAGCACGAGGAGATAACAGCACGAGGAGGTAACAGCACGAGGAGGTAACAGCAGCATGAGGAGAAAACAGCACGAGGAGATAGCAGCACGAGGAGATAACAGCATGAGGAGATTACAGCACGAGGAGATAGCAGCACGAGGAGATAACAACATGAAGAGATAACAGCATGAGGAGATAACAGCACGAGGAGATAACAGCACGAGGAGATAACAGCACGAGGAGATAACAGCATGAGGAGATAACAGCATGAAGAGATAACAGCACGAGGAGATAACAGCATGAGGAGATAACAGCATGAAGAGATAACAGCACGAGGAGATAACAGCACGAGGAGATAACAGCACGAGGAGATAGCAGCACGAGGAGGTAACAGCACGAGGAGGTAACAGCAGCATGAGGAGATAACAGCACGAGGAGATAGCAGCACGAGGAGATAACAGCATGAGGAGATAACAGCACGAGGAGATAGCAGCACGAGGAGATAACAGCATGAGGAGATAACAGCAGCATGAGGAGATAACAGCACGAGGAGATAACAGCATGAGGAGATAACAGCATGAAGAGATAACAGCACGAGGAGATAACAGCACGAGGAGATAACAGCACGAGGAGATAGCAGCACGAGGAGATAACAGCACGAGGAGGTAACAGCACGAGGAGGTAACAGCAGCATGAGGAGATAACAGCACGAGGAGATAGCAGCACGAGGAGATAACAGCATGAGGAGATAACAGCACGAGGAGATAACAGCATGAGGAGATAACAGCACGAGGAGATAACAGCAGCATGAGGAGATAACAGCACGAGGAGATAACAGCACGAGGAGATAACAGCACGAGGAGATAACAGCACGAGGAGATAACAGCACGAGGAGGTAACAGCAGCATGAGGAGATAACAGCACGAGGAGATAGCAGCACGAGGAGATAACAGCATGAGGAGATAACAGCATGAAGAGATAACAGCACGAGGAGATAACAGCACGAGGAGATAACAGCACGAGGAGATAGCAGCACGAGGAGATAACAGCATGAGGAGATAACAGCACGAGGAGATAGCAGCACGAGGAGATAACAGCATGAGGAGATAACAGCAGCATGAGGAGATAACAGCACGAGGAGATAACAGCATGAGGAGATAACAGCATGAAGAGATAACAGCACGAGGAGATAACAGCACGAGGAGATAACAGCACGAGGAGATAACAGCATGAGGAGATAACAGCATGAAGAGATAACAGCACGAGGAGATAACAGCACGAGGAGATAACAGCACGAGGAGATAGCAGCACGAGGAGATAACAGCACGAGGAGGTAACAGCACGAGGAGGTAACAGCAGCATGAGGAGATAACAGCACGAGGAGATAGCAGCACGAGGAGATAACAGCATGAGGAGATAACAGCACGAGGAGATAACAGCATGAGGAGATAACAGCACGAGGAGATAACAGCAGCATGAGGAGATAACAGCACGAGGAGATAACAGCACGAGGAGATAACAGCACGAGGAGATAACAGCACGAGGAGATAACAGCACGAGGAGGTAACAGCACGAGGAGGTAACAGCAGCATGAGGAGATAACAGCACGAGGAGATAGCAGCACGAGGAGATAACAGCATGAGGAGATTACAGCACGAGGAGATAGCAGCACGAGGAGATAACAGCACGAGGAGATAACAGCATGAGGAGATAACAGCAGCATGAGGAGATAACAGCATGAGGAGATAACAGCAGCATGAGGAGATAACAGCATGAGGAGATAACAGCATGAGGAGATAACAGCACGAGGAGATAACAGCATGAGGAGATAACAGCATGAGGAGATAACAGCATGAGGAGATAACAGCATGAGGAGATAACAGCATGAGGAATTCATTACCTCAACTCGATCCGTGTGATAGAAAATGAGAAGCAGAAAGAGAAGGGGAGGACATAGTCCAGACTCCGGAGAGAGGGGAAATCATCACCTCAAAACGAATCAAATGCGAATCTAGGTATCAGGGGGAGGGCGAAGGGGGGGGGGGCGATTACCTCAACTCGGCCAATGTGGTAGAAAGTGAGGAGGAGCGAAAAGAGGCCAGGGTCCACATGAGGCAAGACGACCTCCACACGCTTCTGCTGCTGCTGCTGCCGCTGCTGCTGCTGCTGCACGGGGGACTCTTGAAACTGCTGCTGCTGAACAGGCGCAGAGGGTTGAGGAAAAGCGGTTGTTGCTGCTGCTGCTGCTGGCGCCCTGCCATCGCCTTCCACCCCCTCCACCGCACCACAACCACCTACTCTTCTTTCCGTCATAGTCACATCGCCTCCCTGTACCCTTCGTCTCTCCTCCACACCCACACCACGTCCCCCAGACTCAGAGCGCTGGCAAAAGGCCTCAAACCCCGCCCACGCTGCTGCTAGCACCACTCGGTGGGCGGGAACCAGGCAGGGCGGGCGAGAAGGAGCAGATCGTTGAGGCGCCTGACAACATGGAGACAAGCCGGGCGGGCTAGAGATAGCAGCAGGTGCAAAACCAGGTGAGGGGGAAGAAGTTGGCCTTGCGGCCGTGCTGCCAACACTCCCTGGTGCTGCTGCGCTGTCGGCAGCCACATGGCATGTCCCTATTGGTCTTGCGTTCGAAGCAGCCTGGCTTTCTCTTGCTGCACTTGCTCCTAGACCTCCCCCTCCTCCCCCTCCTCCCCTTCCCCCCCCTCCTCCTTTACCCTCTCTACCTACACCGTCCCCACCACCCTCCTCCCCCCCAACAGCGAAAACAATATCCGAGAATTCATGCGAGTTGACCAGAGACGCCCAGAAGCCACGTGGCGACGAGCCATTGGTGCTGTCAAGATTGGCTCGGCTGCCAGTCTTAAGACTGTTACCTATGCTGCCGGATTTCACGCTGTCTTCAGTCTGAGAGACGCAACCCAGGTCCCTATTGCTGCTGCTGCTGCCGCCATCTCTGGTGCCTGTGCTGCTGCTGGCACTGCTAATGGTCCATCTGCTGCTGCTTCGATCGTTGCTGCTATTGCTGCTACTGCTGCTGCTGCTGGCTCTGATGCCGTGAGTGAAGCAGCCTCCCCTGTTCTCACCACCCATACTTTCCCACACAGACCTTGGGATTCTCACATGTGGCAATACGCGGATGTTCCTATATCCAACGTGCTTATCCCACGTGCTCAACCCCACGAACCTCACGTCCAGGTTCGGGTTTTTGTCCTCATACAAGAGCACCACGCGCCTGCCAGGCTCAGCACCCAAGCCTACCGCGATCCGCCCATCCACCACGTTTATCCAGAAGGCTCGGAATTCCGATGGGGTGATCGCCATGTGGGGCCCACCGCCATCTACAGTATCTACACCGCCATGCAGATCTAGATTATGGCTATCTTTAGAGCCTACAAGTTTAGTGACGGATTGGAGCGGCAAGTGGGGGGAGCTGGCGAAACTGCCCTTGCTGTTGCATGTGTAGCAAGAGCAGTACGAATGGCTGTTGCTGCTACAGCTGCTGATCTGGCTGCTCCTGCTGCTGCTGTTGGATCCAATCCTCTTCTTCCACGTGGCCAACTCCCCGCCAATACCAGATTGCAGCGACTCAAAGTTTGTCGTTTCCGCCACGGCCACCCCATCGACCTCTAGCTTAAGCCGCCGGTTCCTATGGCTCCCGAACACCACCGTGTAATTCCTCCCCGCGTCCGTCCGATAGTGCTTGCTGCCGTCGCGGGTATCTTTAATCACCACCGTCGCGTCGTTCTCGCCGCGCACCTCCAGAATCACGCACCCGCGGCCCGCGCGCGGGAACTGCAGACCGGGACCGTCGAGCCACGCGCACTCGAACGGCGGCACGACGACGACGCTGTTGGGCGCGACGCGGACAGCCGTCGCAGACATGGCGAATTTCTTCGAAGTCCTCTCCTGAATTGGTTCTAAAAACATCTGCTTAGCCACGCGCACTCGAATAAGGGAACGAAGACGACGCTGTTAGGAGCCATGCGAACAGCCGTCGCAGACCGCCGTCGCAGGCATGGGGACTCTCTTCTAAACCCTCTCCTGAGTCGATTTACGGGTCAGCCGTTAATCAGGCGCACTCGAACGGTGGCACGACGACGACGCTGTAAGGAACTACGCGGACGGCCGTTGCGGACATGTTGGCTTTAAGGCTTATTTTTAAGACTACTGGTACACCCACAGGCAGTCAGAAAGTGATACAACCACGACGTAAATCGCTGAACGCTGTAACAGAGCTCGCCGTGACGTTCGCGTACGAAGCTATTTACCTATTATTTACGCGTGCTCTAGATCAAGGAGTCTCGCGAATTTGCTGTTCAGCAATCCTGGCTGATGCCATCTCGATTTTCTAAGCTACTTTTCGTCGCGGGCGGGATGACTAGCGAGTGGGACTTGGGACTGGAGATTCAAGATTTAAAATCTTTCAGCCCGTCGTTCGCCTCGCAGCTACGTCGCTCCATGCTTGCTTGCTTGCTGCCCCACCAGTTCGCTTACTCCCGACCTGCCTCCTACGGAACGCAAATCGCTAGCAACAAAAATGAGTGTTGTTTGGTTTTGGCAGGCAAACCTCTAGGCAACTACCTGTCAGTCAGTCGACTAGCACAAACGGCATTCTCGAGGCCTGCACTTTCTGCTGCCACTGCTTTTTGTTCCGCGTGATGGTAAGTGATGAGATGAACCGCGTTTTTGGCTGTCTCGATATGAATGGAGACACATTTGGGAACAATTGTTTTGATTCCGAAAAAGTGTAGATGCAACTCGTGGGCCTGGCGTGACGGGGATTACACGAGAACCACGCCTGAAGGGCAGTGGAGGGATCATGGCAGCACTGACGTGTCTCACGAACGAACCCATCAAAACATACGTCGGCGAATTGTTTTGTAACATCTCGCAATTAAGCGTGCCCGCGAAGTTACGGTTTACACGTTACCCCGAACCCTGCTTGAAAGTTCACGACAACTGTAACAAATTGTTGTCGCCAGAGCTCGCACATCCCCCCTGCCGTCGCAAACGCTTGGTTTTTTTACACCTGCGACTCGTCCCAGCAAATCAGCAATCTCTCCTGAATCCTTTCTTCTTCAGAAATCGGTGCAAGTTCATTCACTCCATGCCTCCGCCTTCTGCGCCATTCACGAATCAACCAACACACATCCATCTGCCCTGCCCTCCGTCTCGTCTTGTTCTGTTGATGGGGAGAGAGGGAGAGATGGATAGGGAGGGAGGGAGGGAAGCAGAGAGGGAAACATGAGCAAGAACGGGGCAGGGGTGGCGCCTGCACCTGTCCTGCCCTTCTCCACCACCACTCCCTCCCTCCCTCCCTCCCCTTACCTCCCCGTTCGGCAGAACCACACATAATTGCGACACCCAGTGCTAGCGTCGCCTGCCTTACCCGAGAGACTACAACACAGTAAATTCGCGGTCGTACTCCTAGCTTTGTCTGGGGAAGGTGCAAGAGAAGAACGAGTTACTACTAGGCGCGGAAGCAGGACTCAGCACAATTCTTAGGGATTTCTAAGGCGTTCCACTTCCAGTATTTGCATCGCACGCACAGACAAAACGGCCTCGGTTAAGTGTGTCCTGGTAGACACAATAGTCGCAACAGATAGCTCGCACCATGGCTCGCGTAGTTCTGCTTTCCGTCCTCACCCTTCTCGCACTCTCGTCAACCCTCTCGCTCCCTCGCACCGCTCTAGTCGCCGCCGACTCAGACCGACGGCAGCTAGCGTCCACAGTTGACGGCAGCTTTCAGCTGACCGGTAACCCTGGTCTTCACGACGGCGAGGATGACGGTTTGGACGACACGGGGCTGCTGAACCTCACGGAGGCGGAGCAGACGGACTTCTTACGTCAGTCCGAAGCGGAAGAGGCCGACTTTCTGCAGTACGATTCGACAAGCGCGCCGATTCAACCAAACGACGCGCAGCGCGCGGCTCTTCTCGCGCTCAAGGCCGCCTGGGGGTCGGATTTCTTCAAGGCGGAGACATGGTCGGATGCGGACGGGGAGCAGCAGTGGTGGGGGGTTACTGTAGACGCGGATGGTGACGTCATGGCCTTGGAGTTGCCGAACGCGAATCTGGAAGGCGAAATTCCCGACGAGCTTACGAAATTCCAAGATCTCGTGACGCTGGATTTGCGCGGGAACAAGCTTTCGGGGAGCATCCCTACCGGGATCTTTTCCAACTTGACGTCGCTGCGGGAAATTTACCTGAGTGATAATCGGCTGGAAGGGAAAGTCCCCTGGATTGAGTTTTTCTACTCCAACGACTCGAAAGTGTCGACGCTACGGCTTGATGGGAATAAGTTAGGGGGCAAGATTCGGCCCAAGGCTTTCGACAACGCGACGTCGCTGCAGGCGCTTTTCCTGGGCAACAACAAGTTTTACGGGAAGATCCCGAGGAGCCTGGGCAGCTGCAAAGAAATCTCTGTCATCGATCTGAAGAACAACGAGTTTTCGGACCTGATGCCAACTACTATCGCGGATCTTCCCGCGCTTGAAGTTTTGGACGTGAGCGGGAACAAGCTCACGGGATCGATTCCCAACTTCCTCGGGCGACTCCCCAGTTTAATCAACCTCGATTTAAGCAACAACCTGTTCTCGGGCCTTGTACCGCCTTCATTCCAACTGTTCTCTCACACGGCCCGTGCGGTCAAAATCGGGGACAACTTCCTGACTGGGCCTTTGCCTCAGTTTCCCCGCTTCTCTAAAGGCTGCGGCGTTAATGGTGTAGGAGGCTCGGACAGCACGTCGTGTTACATGCTTCGGTCTCTTTTGGACTTCGAGGGGAACTTCTTTTACGGGAATTACTCGCTGGATATTCAGCTGCCCGGCTCGGAAAACCTTCCTGCCATGTCAACAGTCTGCCCGTACGAGTACCCCGAAAGCATCTACGTGTCGGACAATTGCCTGAGCTCCACGGATCTATGCGATGTGGAGAAGCAGCGGCCACCGAAGGAGTGCGAGGAGTTTTGCGGGACCGGCAGTCCCGAGGGGCAGTGCGGTGGGAAGGGGGTGTGTGTGCTGAACCCCCTGGAGGGGAGTGCGCAGAAGTTTGTGTGTGAGTGTGACGCAGGGTTTATTCCCATGGGGAATCCTCCCACTTGCGTCAAGGGCTGATGGGGAGTGCGGGGGGGATGCCGTGTGGGGTGTTGGGAGGATCTGGGTATGAGGGGAATGGGGATGTAGGGCTGCGGGTTTGGTGAGGCTTCAGGGAGGGGAGAATGGTGGAATCTGGAGGAGAGGGGGGCACGTCGAGGTATTAGCTCTGAGTGCCATGCACTTGACTGGTGGTGGGTGGGAGAGTTAAGGGGAGAGGGTTGGTTGGGAATGGTTGAGACACATGGAGAAGATGGGGTGGTTGTATTGTATTGGTATTGTTATGTAAGATACTGTAGGGAGACACGTCTGGAAGGCAAATACCATATGTAAACTTGGAGCGTGACACGATTTCTTGATGAACACGCAATAGTTATCCTTCATATGCTAGCAATTACAACAGTTCTGGCGTCGTTCCCCAATCAAATTCTATATTTGTATTGTGTTTTTTCGGATTGTTCTCCATAATTGTACTTCTTTTTGTGCTACTTGTTCACAATCTAGACGTGTAAGCTACGCGAGGTGCCTGTTATCGAAAGTTGAGTCTGACGCACATAGGCAGGCACACGAAACACACACCACACGTGTCGCTCATTCCTTCCCTCGAGCTTCTCCTCTTACTGTAGACCTCCCGCCAACCATTCTGTCAGAAGGGGAAAGGCGGAACTTCGCGATTTAGAGACTTCCTGTTGGGAACTTTTCGCCGTGGAGTGGGCTTTGCACATTCACACAGAGTACAGCTCAGAGGGTATCGCGAGCGTACGGCGATCCGTGTGCGCTTTGGTTCTGATGCAGCCTCGGGAGATCCAGAAAAGCAGCTTTAGTTTCTGAATATGCAGTCGCGACTTCCAAACTCCCAAGACGACTAACCGCGGGTATACCGGTTTCAGAATCTACAGCTCTTCATCGTTGATGAGTAGGGCCTAGTTACGGCCGCCGGAGACGTCCCTAGGAGCTGTCGTTATTGCGTGCACAAGTAGGACTCTCGTAAGTCAACGTAGGCTGGCCGGGCCGGGATCTGTCCGTTCTTGCACAGTTGGTGCACAGTTGCACGTCCGACTCCGGAAAACGGAAAACCCACGGAAGATGTTATTATCGCGAAGCTCGCTTTGGGAATGGTGTGTCAGGTAGAGTGCTGGTGTAGATTAGACGGCGTACAAAGCCGATCCGTGGCGTAGTACTGATCGTTTGCAGAGCGAGGCTGAGACAGATTAGGGTTTCGTTATAGCAAGTCTCGAAGGAGGACACAATGGCCACCAAGTCCAGCTCGCTAATTCTGCTAATAGGCACAGGTATGACATATGACCTATGGCCAAGCTTCCGTTATAGAGTTCACTATCTCGTTTCCGTCAAGAGATTCTTCCATCTCGTGCTGTGGCTTGGCCACGGATCGCCCGTTCCGTTTGATGAAGCTCCGCTGTTAGCATCTCCGATACTTCTCCTAGCAAAGTTGCCCTGTTTCCCTCGACGCTGTTCACCATCTCGCCGTCTTCGCCTACTCGTTCAACGATCTCCTCCTGATCCTCGTTCAGCGTTGAGGCTTTTTGTTTTTGTTTTCGCCACCTTAGCTTAGCCAAGCCTGCTGTAGGGTCCACCCACAAGCCATATTTCATCCCCGTTTAGTTCTTATCTGTAATGTCTGACAGCACTAGCCTGACAATGCTGCTTCTGGGTCAATCCGCAATCCGCAAGCCTTTTCATCCTCGTTTGGCTTCTTTTTGCAATGTTTGGCAACACTAGCCTGGCAAGTCGATCTGGCTGGAGCAGCGTTGACTCTTCCTGATCTGATTCTGGTCTCGGCGTCGCTGGTTGTTGCCGTTGCCTGCGTCTTTATACGCGTTTTTGCGCCATTCTTTACTCGCAGGTGTAGCTGCCACAGTAGTTCTGGGACCCGCCAAAGTCTCGGAGATTCTACGCGATCTTACCCAGGTACGTTTCTTTCATCCGTCGCCGTACGCGTTATAGCCATCATCAGCAAAGCGGGATGATCCCACTGGTGGCGTTAGCCTTTCTCTTACGTTTTAAGCCTGCCTCGCACATTCTCACCTTGCCCTTACACCCTCTTGCCCTTCGTCTGGCTATTTTCTCTCTGCCCGAACCAACCTCATCTGCTGTAAAACCTTTCTTACGAACATATGAACTAATTGTTTGCGCGACATGCGATATTGCTGACAGTAGCTCTTCCTTCCTTTCTTTTTCAATCCGAGCAGGTACTATCAAAGCATCTGAAGACAATAGATGATGGATCCGAGAGCAGAAGGGAGCACTCGGATGACGTCAACATGGCATTGATCGACCAGGTATGGTGCTGCTATAGTGCGGCAAGTATGGTACTGCTTTTTTGGATATCTTGCGGTGAGGTGCGTGGGAGCAGAAGGGAGCACAGGAATGGCGTCATGGCTTTGATCAACCAGGTATGGTGCTGCTGCTACCCTGGTGGTCCAGATACGGTGTTTTTTTCTCTCTCCACCATTTCCCCCGGCTATGTAAAAGCTAATGCTCGCGCCCCGCCTCTGATCTCATCGCCGCCACACCTCTCTCCATCGTTTTCTCTCTCCACCAGCCCCCCCCCCCACCCCCCCCCCTTCTCTGTCTCCCTAGAAGCTAATGCTCGTGCCCCGCCTCTGATCTCTTGGCCGTCTCACCTGCTCCTCCTCCCTCACCCCTTTGCATGGAACCTTCCCGGCAGGTTCATAAGCTGAGCCTGCAGGTGCAGCAGCTCTCGACCAACTCTCGACCAATCACAGTCGTCAACGCGCCGCCTCCTCAAGAAAGAGGTAAGGAGGTGCCGTTAGAGGTAATGTGCTTTCGCCAGGAGGTAATCGCGTTTTTTTTTTCTTCCTTTTAGTTGGGCCGGAGTTTGTGATCCGTCGAGCATTCGAAATGGGTTTATATGCCCGCTTTTCCCCTTTGACCTCGTCGCTCTGTTGTGTTGCTGCAGGGAGCGTTCTGGGATATGTGGTGCCGGTGGCAGTGATTGGAGTGGCGGGCTATGGCGTCATGTGGTGGAAGGTGCGTGCGTAGCGTGGTGTGGCATGGCATGGCATGGGTGTCGCTTGGCATGGCATGGCATGGGTATCGCTTGGCATGGCTTGACATTTTGTAAGTTTAAGTGGTGGTGCAGCAGGCTATGGGGCCATGTGGTGGAAGGTGCGTGCGTAGCGTGTGGTGGCATGGCATGGTGTGGTTTGGCATGGGCTGGAGCCTGGCACAGCGCAACACATGGTGTTGGTGCAGCGGCTTGTGTTTTCTTGCTGTGAACAGCATTGTGGTGTGGGTGAGTGGCAGTGATTGGAGTGGCGGGATATGTGGCCATGTGGTGGAAGGTGCGTGAGTGGCATGGCATGGCATGGTGTCACTTGGCATGGCATGGTGTCGCGTGGCAGGCGGTGAGGCTATGGTTTAGGGGACTTCTAACCCCCCCCCTCCGCCCGCCCCCCGCCCCCCACCCCCCCGCTGCGTCAACCCTTTTCTGACGCATTTTCAGGGCTGGTGTGTGACGGGCCTCCTCATGTACGTGACTATGAATCGCATGGAGCAGGCAGGGAAGGGTAGCAAGCTCCTCACTTCTCTGCCCTTCCTCCATCCCTCCCCCTCAGGGCTGGCGAGTCACGGACTTGATGTACGTGACTATGAATCGCATGGAGCAGGCAGGGAAGGGTAACACATTCCTCACTTCTCTGCCCTTCCTCTGTCTCTCCCCCTCAGGGCTGGCGAGTCACCGACTTGATGTACGTGACTAAGAAGCGTATGGACCAGGCAGTGAAGGCCATGGCGGAGAAGGTGACAGAGCTGCAGTCAGCCCTCGACGTGAGTAGAGGCGCAGACAGCAGCATTGGATATGAGTATAGGTGCAGGCAGGCACGAGTAAAAGCATGCTGTGCTCCTTCATATCGCGCCCAGCATACTTACCGCTGCCAACCACATGCCTGTGCCCGTGTGGTATGACGCACACATGCCCATGCCCATGCCCATGCCCATGTATGCACTGCTGCTGAGAACGTCTGCCCCACCACATCTGTCCCACATATTCACCGTATCCCTCCTCTCCCCCCCCCCACTACTCTCCCCTCCCTGCAGTGCAGACTGCAAAGAAGCAGCTGGTTGGCTGGTTGGAGGGAGTGCAACAAGTATTCACCCTACGTTGTTTACCACGTACCCTCCCCCCCCCTCCCCTCCATCATCCCCCCCTTTTCGCCCTTTCTCCCGCTCCTCCCCTCTCCCCTCCCTGCAGACTGCAAAGAAGCAGCTGGTGGGGCGGCTGGAGGGAGTGTCCAAGTCGGTAGCTGAGAGCCTTCACATGCAGGCGATCATAAAGAAGGACGTGAGTGCCTTGTAAAGGGCGTGCTTGTACAGGGGGCGTGCTTGTGAAGGGTGTAAAAAGGCGGCTGGAGGGAGTGTTCAAGTCGGTAGCAGAGAGCCTGCACATGCATGCGATCATAAAGAAGGACGTGAGTGGCCTATAAAGGATGTGATTCAAGGGTGAGAAAAGGGTGTATATTTTTGTCAAGGGTGTCAAGAAGCGGTTGGAGGGGGTGTCCAAGTGGGGAGCTGAGAGCCTGCCTGCACATGCAGGTGATAATTAAGAAGGATGTGAGTGGTTGGGGAAGAGGGTGCTTATAAAGGATGTGCTTATGTAACGGCGATCAGGCTTACTTTTGTACAAGCAGCCAGAGGGAGTGTCCAAGGCGTTCTCGTTTCACCCCACTACCCTTTCCGTCCCGGACCAATCACACTTGCTGCAACTGAAGGGGTTGGTCAGCCCCAGTCCACTCTCCTCCGTCTCCATTGTCCCGCCCCACTCCCCTCTGCTCAGTATCCTCCGCTCTCTTTTCCCAATCCCCCCTCGCAGGTGGGGGAGGTGAAGGGGGCGGTCAGCCTTGTGAGTCGCGACCTGGACAACGTGCAGGGGCTGGTGGAGGGCATGGTGAGAAGAAGGGAAGGGGGGGGGGGGGGGGGAGGGTGGGCGAGAAAAAGGGGTGTTGTAGCGGGGGGGAGGGTAGATAGTTCCCTGCGTCGCGGCCTGGGCAACGCGCAGGGGCTGGTGGAGGGCATGGTGAGAGGAGGGGGGGAGGAGGGGGGGACGTGGGACAGAGAGCATGGGAACTGATGGGTGCTTGGTAGCGCATGGTGAGCTGTGTGAGTTGCGACCTGGACACCGTGCAGGGGCTGGTGGAGGGCATGGTGAGAGGCAGGGGGGGGTGTGGGGCAAACCGTATGGTGAGAGAAAGGGGTTTTGCCGTGCGCGGCAGTGCGACGTTGCGAATCAGCCTCGTGAGTCGTGACCTAGGCAACGTGCATGGGCTTGCTGATGGCATGGTGAGAAGCGAATGAAGGTCCCTGGCGGGCTGAGCTGATTGTGAGAGAGAGGCACGGATGCAGGTTGGTATGGTGGCTCATGGGTTGCCTCTGTGAGTCGCGGGTTGCCTCTGTGAGTCGCCACCTGGACAACGTGCAGGGGCTGGTGGAGGGCATGGTGCGAGGGGGCATCTGGTGGTATAGGGGGAATGTTGGCGGTATAGGGGGAATGTTGGCGGTATAGGGGGAATGTTGGTGGTTCAGACAGACACACACGAATGGTGGTAGGGGAAGGAGGTAATTGGGCTGGGTGTTTGGGTGTTTTGTAAGAGAGAAGAGAGGCCAGTGCACAGATTACCTTGGGTCTGATGGCAGAAGAGGGGAGTTCTCTAGTTTCTTTAGAACTCTGCCATCTTGCGTTTAATACATGCAGAATTCTAAGCTGGCATCGCTAGAGCAGAAGCAGGACATTGCGACGTGCAGTGTGCTGATGCTGTGCCATCATGCCATTCGCAAGACATAGCCATCAAGACTCGGACTCTCTTTGCCATTTCCCTCCCGCCTCTGGTGCCTGCAGGATTCCAAGCTGGCGTCGCTAGAGCAGAAGCAGGACATTGCGACGTGCAGTGTGCTGGTGCTGTGCCATCATGCCATTCGCAAGACATAGCCATCAAGACTCGGACTCTCTTTGCCATTTCCCTCCCGCCTTTGGTGCCTGCAGGATTCCAAGCTGGCGTCGCTAGAGCAGAAGCAGGACATTGCGACTCGTGGCGTGCTGCTGCTGTGCAGCTTCGTGAGCAGAGGGTTGCAGGGCAACCCAGGCAACCAGGAGCTGCTGAAGGTGTGTACTTGTGTGACTTTTGAGTCGACTCAAAAGTCACCTTGCTGCTGTGCACCTTCGTGAGCAGAGGGTGCAGGGCAACCCGGGCAACCAGGAGCTGCCAGCCAGGAGCTGTTAAATGTTCGAGGGAGGGAGAATAAGTGGCAGGAGTAGTGGGGTTTGTAGTGTGCTGCTGTGCAGCTTCGTCAGCTTGAGTCGTCGGGGGTTGAAGGAGCTCCAGCTCATGTCGTCTGCTCTCGAATCCTCCCTGCTGTTGCCCCTTTTCCCTCTCCACCCCACTTGTTGCTGTTGTCCCCGCTGCAGCCCACCCTAACGATTAATGGCTACTGTTGCCCCTTTTCCCTCTCCACCCCACTTCACGGCCTGACAGACATGTGGCAGATGGAGGTGCTGCATCTTGCCTGAGGCAAGGGCGGGGGGGGGGAGGAGTCAGTGCTTGTGCCAACTCAATGCGCCGTTTTCCGTTTCTCTCTTCACCGCTACGGGGCCTGGCAGACATGGCGCAGATGGCCGTGCCTCGGCTTGCCTCAGGGAAGGAGCTGTCATGGGCCCACTGCTGCTCCCCGTGCTACCTTCCCTGAGGCAAGCCGAGGCAGGCCACGACAGGCCCACGACAGGCAGCCGTGGGCTCCCCGACAGGCCCACTGCTGCTCGTGGCTGAAGGAGATTCGACAGGCCACGACAGGCCCACGGGGAGCAGCAGTGGTCCTGACGTGGCTGAAGGAGCTCGAAGTCATCTCGTCGGCTCTCGAATCTCCCCTCTGCTCCCCCTTGTTCCCTCTCCACCTGACCACAGGGCCTGGCAGACATGTCACAGATGGCCGTGCCACAGCTGGCCTCAGGCAAGGGCGCGGCGGGGGGAGCAGCAGTGGGGCTGTCGGGACTGAAGGAGCTCGAGTTCATCTCGTCTGCGCTTGAGTCCTCCGTGCACCACACAGGTGCTGCTGCTGCTCGTTGTGGTGGTGGTGCTGGTGCTGTTGCTGGTGGTGTTGCTGGTGGTGTTGCTGGGGATGCTGGTGGTGCTGCTAATGCTGCCCTTTCGTCCTCGTCCTCCTCGTTTTTCCACATGGCCCATGGCCATCACATGCAATCTGCCCTTGCCGCCCATCCCATCCACGTCACTGTGTCAGGCCCCATGCCTCTCGATCCTGCCCACGCCCACCAACCCTCTCGCCAAGCCTCCTACCAAGCCTCGGCGGCAGGCTTGGAACGCCAACCCTCCTCATCAGCGGCGGCACCAGGGATAACATCCCGGCACTCGTTCGGAGCGGGAGGGGCGGCGGCAGCAGCAGCAGCTGCTGCAGCAATTGCTGCAGTGACGGGCCGATCGCGGGGGGTAAGCGCACCTGCACCAGGGGTAGGGGTGGGGGCAGGGCTAGGGGCAGGAGGAAGGGAAGAGGCGGCAGCAGGCGTGCAAGCAGCAGGTTTCCAATCAGCAGCAGTGCATGGCATGCATGCAGCAGCAGCGGATGCAGCCATGGGGCACAGTGTGAGGGAGGCTGAGGGCGCAGTGCTGAGGCGAGGAGTGGTGATTGAAGAGGTGTCGGACGGCTTTGGCTCTGCTGCTGCTGCTGCTGGTGCTGCTGCTGCTGCTGGTGGGGTGGTGGGGCGCGGAAGGGAGGGATACGGGCAGCCGCTTTCAGCCAATGGCGTGTCGCCACCTCGTGCCCGTGCTGGCATTGGTGCTGCTGCTCCAGCAGCGGCTGTTGGAGGGCCTGGGGGCTATTCAAGGTGGGCCCTCCGCTTGTCTTCCTCCCCCCCACAGTTCCCCTGTTCGCCCTGTTTGCCCCCTTTTCAAGACGCTGATCCATATTGACCCTAGTTTCGCCCTCTCTCTCTCGTTTTCAGGAAGCTGAGGCATGCCCGATTTGGAGACTGAAGGGCCTGCCATCACGGTGAATGGCAACCATGTTTTTGGCTCGAACGTGAATCTCAGTATACAAACAATCTACTGCCTCCCTATGAGTTTGGCACTTTTGTCCTATTCTTGCCATGTGCTATGCCCATGGTATTCCTTTATGGCCCATATACCAGAATGTTTCCTTCTCAATGCCGATACAAAAGATGGTGTTGCATCACATTCACATGGAAGTTTTTTACCACCAAAGCATTCAAATTGGTAGTAGAACACACAAGAAAACACGAGAGGGACCATTCCTGAGCTCGTGCAAGACCCTGTATCAAAGGCCGACACAAGGTCAGGAATACGCCCTGAGAAATCTACCAGCTACCTTGGTAAGTATGACAATGATGACCCTACAAGTTCTCCCTTTGTCTCTCCTGCCGTTGCTCCTTTTCACATACCGACGCTGGGTGTACACTGCTCGTCGAACTTCTTGGCGGAAAACGGATCGACTTGCATCGTGCATTCCACATGCACCTGGACTCGTGGCGACGAGATGCCCCAGTATTTGACGCGCGCTACAGTGCCAATCACCACGCGCATTTCCGCGCGCCCTCCATGCAGCAGCGGCGTCGTCAGCAGGCTTGCGGGATCGAGGGTCACAAGGGGCGCGTCGACAATCTCGAGGGGGACAGTCAAGTGCGCGCTTGCCCCCCTTCCCATGCCCACAACGCCGGGCAGGGTTACATTTGTGACATTCATGTCGAAGAATTTCACGTCGATGGAAATATTTTCCGCCTCCACGTCCCAGTTGTTGGGGTTATACACGCGCGCGGTGACGTTTATTAACGCGGATAGGCCCAGGCGGAAGTTTTCGACGCCGAGGAAGCCGCCGCCTGATTCGTTGATGCCCACGTGGACGATGTCGATTCGCTCGACCTCTACTTGGGGCTGCTGCTTAGAGACTGTCAGGTACGCGACCAGCCCTGCGACGGCTAACGCGGCGATGGCGACGACGACGACGACGAGCGACCAGCATGCGACACGGCAGCAGCAGGTCCGGCGACGGAGCTTCTGGCGATCCTTCTCGTCCTTGCGAAGTTGCCATAATTCGTCAGCGGTAGTAACCCCTTTGGAGTCTATGAGCAGGTCGGCGGGGTAAACCGCGGTGAACTCCGCTGAATCTTCCGCATCGGCGATATCATTTGCGGGGAACGCGTTCTTGGCAAGCGGGGGCGCACAGCAGAAGGGGGGGTTCGATCGTCCAGGCGAAGAGGAAACGGGGAGCGAGGAGTCGGGAGCTAAGCAAGTGACTGCGCCTGATTCAACGTCTATGTCAGGGGCGAATTGTGTCGTCGACTTGGAAATCTGAGAAGAATCGTTGTCTAGCAGAGCCATGACTGGAATATATATGCGATGTGCAGATGCACTCGAGTTCGAGAGATCGGAGTTGACAGGAGTTGAGGGGAGGGTCGAATTGCTTGGATTGGAAGATTGGTTGTGATGAGCTGTGGAGTGGAGTGCGGGTCTCGTATATTTATCGTGCCGAGGCATTGGAAATGTGAAATCTGTTGCGCCCCACCCCACTCTCAGTTCTCCTGTGCGAATGGTGAGCCGAGTCGCGCCCAGGGTTAACGCGGTCCGCTGTGCGCGGTTTGGCGATTGGGGGAGGGCGGACGGAACGGAAGCTTCTTCTGGCTTTGTGGAAGGGATGCAAACAAAATTAGCCAGACCGAACAACACGGCTCGGTGAGTGAAGACCTGCTGCACCCAAAACCTCAACCAGCCTAGGCTTGGTAGCTCCTTGGTGGTTCGTCTCAATCTGTAACCGCTATAACGACAGACGCGAAAGCAAATACGTTACGTGAAAATAATCAGAGCTACCACTATAATGCCTTACTTATGCATGTTGCTTTTGAATGGGTCAGAGCAAGCGCTTACGCGACTAAGGATGGTCACACACTTTCCATGAGATATCTAAAATTGATAAAACGTGTGATTCATGTTGTGTGTAACACTTACTCATAATGTTAGGATCAACAAGCTAATTATGTTACTTGTCTCGGAAGTGTGAAAGTCAAGCGCTTCTACACCTGGTCAAGTAGCATGGCAAATGACCACAAGGATGCAAATAGAGCCTGCGCATGAAAACACTGTGAAGTGGAAATTTATATTGAGAATGAGAACGGGAGACCGAGTGAAGGGAATAATTGAGGGGCACGAAAGGAATCTTACATCTGACGTTGAAGGGTGCGGCTTGGCCTCTCCAAGATGGCATGCCAGCTGCTCAAGCGTTGACCTGATGAGAAGGCAACAAACCAGGACACTCATGTCGTATTTCTAGCATCCAGGATTAGGATCAGGATCAGGAAAACGGAGCTGATCCTGGCGGGCAACCTAGAACGCCAGGATCAGCTCGGGCTTGTAGCCACGTCACGTCGCGCATGTGTCTGCCGATTGGATATTGGTATCAAACCTAGAATTGAATAATGAGAGAGAGAGAGTACACAAACATATACCTAAATGTTGTACTCTCTAGAAGGTGACCCTATACAGTCTATACAAACATGATAACTACACATGTTTGACACACCCCCTGGACTGCATAGGGGAATGTTCTAGACAAGCAGCTCAGGGTGGCACTACTAGTCCAGCCTCTGAGACAAGGGTCTAAAAGACCAGTCAGAAGGAGTACAGACAAGGCAAGAACGAGTACAGGGCGGCACTACTAGTCCAACCACTGTGAGAGGACACAAGTCCAGTCTGAGTGTATACATATATATATATACGACAGTACAAAGTCAAAGCCCGAGTAAGTGAGAGACTACAGGAACCAGACCAAGCTGTAAACAGTGCCGCTGATGATCTTTAGGCGCAAGCGCCTTCGTAAAGATATCAGCTGTGTTGGCACCGGAGGCCAAGTGTACTACGCGAGCCTGGCGACGCTGCTGTAGCTCGCGCAGGAGGAAGTACCGCAGCTGGATGTGCTTCGCTCTGCCCTCGAGTCGAGGCTCCTGACACAGGAGAATCATGGCCCTGTTGTCAGCGTACAGGACCGGGGCAGAGCTAGGCCGCTCACCTAAGTCAGTGAGCAAGAAGGTCAGCCAGCGGAGCTCCTGTGCCGCCATGGCACCGGCGTAGATCTCAGCCTCACAGCTGGACTGGGCAACAGACGAGGAGCGGGTAGCTCTCCACGAGACAGCACCTGAGCCAAGGCTAAAGCAGTAGCCCTGGGAAGACCTGAGCGTCTCGGCGTCGTCTGCCCAAGAAGCGTCTGTGTGTCCAGTAAGGACCACTGGCCTGCGTCCGCCTAGCACTAACCCCATGCCCGATGTACTTGCAAGATAACGCAAAACCCTCTTAGCGGCAGACCAGTGCTGAGGTCGGTGTCTGCCTGTGGCCACAAAACGAGCCAGGATGCTGAGAGGGTATGCGAGATCTGGGCGAGTGCAAGTCATCAGGTACATGAGGCAACCCACTAGCTCAGCGTAAGGACCACTGGGATCTACCGACTCCTCAGGAACTGGAGCGGAGAGTCTGTGGTCCAGAGGAAGAGGGGTGGGCTGTGCGGAGGAGAACTGAAGGCCGAACCTCTGAAGGACCTGGCGCACCAAGTGTGACTGAGTCAGGGTGATGGTGCGCGCGGCTCTGTCCCTGGAGATCTGCAAGCCAAGGTAACGGCGCAGCTCTCCAAGGTCAGTGCAGGTGTGTCTCTTCAGCAGCTCTGCCTTCACGGAGGCCAGTGCGTCCCTGTCAGCTGTGGCAAAGACCAGGTCGTCTACGTAGACGAGGATGTAGAACGGAGTCGAGCCAGCACGAACGAAGAGCGAGGGGTCTGCAGAGGACGGAAAGAACTGCAGGTCAGCAAGAGTAGCACGCAGCGTGTCGTGCCACTCACGAGGCGCCTGGCGCAGGCCGTAGACTGGGCGCCGCAGAAGCCACTGGGTCCCAGGGGGGAAGGTGCCAGTAAAGCCCTGAGGACGACGCAAGTAGACCTGCTCGTGAAGGCTGCCCTGAAGAAAGGCAGTGGAGAAGTCGAGGGAGTGAAGCTCGTAGTCACGCTGAGCCGCTACGTGTAGCAGAACCCGAAGAGTAGTCATCTTCGGGGTAGGAGCGAAAGTCTGAAAGAAGTCCACCCCCTCGCGCTGACTGAAGCCTCTAGCCACGTAACGCGCCTTGAACACAGGCGGCTCTCCAGGAGGGCGCTTCACCTTGAAGAGCCAACGGCCATCGACCACGTTCACCCCAGGTGGGGGAACTGCGTCGACGAAGGTGCCGGTGGATCTCCGAGATGCCATCTCCTGCTCCATGGCAGCTATCCACTGAGAGGCCCAAGGTCCCGAAACCGCCTCAGCGTAAGTACGAGGGGTCGGGATGTCAAAAGCGTCTGGGTCACCCTCAGGGACTAGCAGCATGGAACAGAGATGGGGAGCAGCCTCGGACAGGAAAGCAAGCTCAAACTGGCGGTCCTCCAGGACGTCACTGCCGAGGGCAGGAGCACCCCCGACAGACGGAGGACAGGCAGGGTCAGAGACCAGAGCGGAGGCGTAGTCAAGGCGGCGGGTAGAGGCGAAGTCAGCGACCGCAGCGACAAGGGCGTCAAGACTCGACACTGGAACAGACGGGTCGGTAACGAGAGAGGCAAGGACCCGAGGAACAAGAGGACGAGCGGCACGAAAGTAGTCAGACAGAGGAGGAGACGCAACGACAAGAGAGGACGGAGGAGGAGACGGGAGGAGGGGAGGACGAGACGCGTGGGAGCGGAGCAACATAGGGTGAGTGCGCGGGACGGGGGAGACAGGACGAGCACGGGAGGGGCGGCGAGACCAGACGTGAGAGGGCGGTGTCGGGTCAGGAGACAGAGGAGGGGACACGGGTGGGGAACGAGGGGGAAAACGAGCCGGGGACGAGTCCGGCGGAGGGAACACGGGGCCGTAGACGGGAAGAGGGGGAGACGGCCGGAGAGGAACAGCCGCAGGGTCAGGGGACGGAAGGCCGAGCAGACGGAGGGCGGACACCGGCGGGGACTGCTGCTGCGGCGACACAACACCAACGCCAGGGCCACAAGCTGCGCGACGGCTACCTCCCGAACCCTCCACACCGGCACCCCCAGAAGGGACACCCCCAGAGCCCGAAACACCGCCAGCACCGGTACCACCCCCAGGCCCGCCGGGACAAGCCCCGACAGGAGCCCCGGGACTAGTACCCACCTCAACGCCAGCACCCCCAGAGTCCACAAACAGCGGCAGCGACGACGGCGGCGGCGGCGGCGGCGGCTGCAGCGACGGCATCGACGGCGGCGGCGGCGGAGACGACGGCTGCAGCAGCTGCGGCGACGGCGGCTGCGGAGGCGGTGGAGGAGGAGACACCAGGGGAGGGACAGACGGCGAGGACTGCGCCAAAGGACTACCAGAGTCAGAAGACTCGTCGACCGGAACGACCGACGGGAGGGGGGTGACGTGAGACACACCAGAGGGGGCCGGACGGGGGGGCGGGGGGGGGGAGGGGCAGGGGCCACCAGGGAGGGAGGAACCAGGAACAGGGGGGGAGTAACCGGGGGACCACGGTGGGGAAAGCGGCGGTAGAAGGAGACGGACTCGTCAAAGGTGACGTCGCGAGAGTGAAAGAAACGGTGAGACGGCGGGTGGTAGAAGTGCCAGTCGGACGCGTCAAGGGGGAAACCAAGGAAGACGCAGGGGAGGGTGCGGGCAGTGAGCTTGTCCGTGCCAGAGGCACGAACGTGAGCAAGGCAGCCCCAGACGTGGAACGCAGACGCGTCACCAGGGGACCCGGTCCACAGAAGGGTCGGCGAAACCTGCGGCCGCTGGGGGTGCGGCCACAGGTTAAGCTGGTGAGCGGCGTAGCGCACGGCGAACGGCCACAGAAAATGGGGTGCACCGGCGTGGATCATGGAGGTGCGAGCCACCTCCATGACCAAACCGATGCGTCGCTCAGCGACCCCATTCTGCTGCGGGGAGTCCGGCAGGGTAAACGTCTGGGTGATGCCCTCCGCACGACAGAAGCGACCAAGGACACCTGAGGCGAACTCGCCACCCCGGTCGGAGTGGAGGCGCAAGGCAGGGAGACCGCGGTGGAGACGAGCAGAGACAAGCCAGGGGATGAGAACGTCAGGCACGTCGGCCTTCCGCTCCAGGGGAAAGACGGTGGTGTAACGTGTGAAGTCGTCGACAAGCACTAGGAAGAAGCGCTCGCGACGCGGCCCATGGACCGGGGCTGGGCCCCAGACGTCCATGTGCAGAGTCTGCAGGGGTGCGGTGGTAGGGGGAAAAGAGGAGGAGTGAGGGGCACGGCGGAGCCGGCCCTCGACACAAGGCGTGCACGGTGGGGCGGGGGATGAGGGAAACTCAGGGAACGAACCGGGGAGACCAAGGACGAGACCGTGCTGGGACATGTGACGCAGACGCAGGAGTGCAGGGTGACCAAGGCGGTGGTGCCAAAGGAGAGTCGGATGAGTGAGGGACCGACAGGAGCACGCAG